GAAATGCCTGCGGAAGAACCTGCTAGTGTTACTTCTAAAACAGTCGCTCCATATTAAAATTAATATTCAGAATAAATAACATAAGTCAAATTGTGAAGTGGGAAAGTTCTACCTCTAAGAATGGCTCCAAAAGACAAAAAAATCAAGTGGCTATTCCAAAAGAGCAATTCTACTTGTACAAGACATACATTTCAAGAAGCATCCCGAGATGACACCTATGCCAGATAGGAAACCGAGTGCTTAATTGTTATCATTATTATGTGTGCGCTTGCATGCGAGTGCCCACACGTGCCCATAGACGGTTGTCGGAGCAAAAAAAATTTGAATTTTTTATTTATTAGTGCCAAAATTCCAAATTTTGGCCAATAGATAGTGTCATTAGGAGAGGCACAAACTATACCTCTTCTCCAGAGGTATGAGTCTCTTTCACATTACAACCTCGTCTTTTGTGTTGTTGTTACTCAACTTTTTAGGCGATTTTTATCGCATATTTTGGGCTATTATTGACCTCCTTTTGTGTTGTTTGCTGCCATCTTTTAGGCTATTATTGCCCCATCGTTTGGGTTGTTCTTGCCTCTCCTTTCAAGCTGTTTTTGTCATATCTTTTTGGTTGTTCTTGCCCCTTGTTTAGGAGTTGTTGCCCAATCTTTTGGGCTATTATTGCCTCGCCTTTTGGGATGTTGTTGTCTTGACTTTTGGGTAGTTTATACATCGTCTTTTTAGATGTTGCTTAATATAAGAATGTTGATTTCTTATAATTTTCTCTAGAAAAAAAATTATTATAAGTCTTGAAAAGAATCCCATATATTTCAATTAAGATATTGCCCCCTAGTTGGAACATAGTAATAACGAACTCTTCTGAGGCTTATACCTTCTGAGATTCTTATGCAAATGTTTAGCTTCTTGAGTAAATAAAACCTTCAGAGGCTTATACCACTTTGAAATTTTTTAAGTGTGCATGTTTCTAATGAGATTTATAGCATTCTGAGATTTTTTAGTGCGCACTTGTACTTTTTAAGGCTTATAATTTTCAAAATTTTTCAAATATACCAATAGCTTATGAGACCCATAGCATTCTGACATTTTTTAGGGTACATATTTTCTGAGGCTTATTGTTGTCTGAGATTTTTTAGTGTACATGTACTTTCTAAGGCTTATAAATTTATGATATTTTGAGTATATATGTATCTTCTTAGACTTAATGTATTTTAAGATTTTTTGAGTGGAGATCCTATCAACCACTTGCTCTCATAGAATTTTGTTAATAAGGAACTTATCCACTACTAGCATTTTATTGAGATTACTTAATAGGTGCCTTCTCTGAAGGATATGCATTTTGCATTAAATATAAAAAAGAGTACAAAAAGTACAAAAAAACAAGTCCTCGGACATGTGCACAAGAGGTCCTATCATCGCCGGGGATAGTAGCTCCAACTATTCAGAGACCGTATCAAAAGAAAAACTAAGAGTAAGAGCCTTTTAGGAACAAAAGTTCTGTTGAGCTCCCTGGAAACAAAATGAAAAAGAACTTGTTTAAAATAAGTAATGAAAGCCAAAGAGTAGCCAAGCGTCTGGTTGTCTATCCATGTCTTCTTAATCATCAATTGTCTCATAAAATCCAACACATTGCTATTATCCCCTTCAACAATATGGCCATTTACTTCCCACATCCAAGGTTCGAACATGTGTTTGATGGCAAGAATGTCTTGTAACTCCACCGCTCTGCTATCTGAATGCGTCATGTGATGTCCCATAGCCGAAATCAACATACTAATTTCATCAAAAAGAACAACACTAGTACCGGACCAATGATCACGACAAAGAGCACCATCTACATTAACATTTAACCAACCCGGTGTCTTCCAGGAGTATGAGTGGAGGCCTTATCTATAACAAATCTCGAATGCTATAAAATATTTCCATCGCTATAAAATTTTTTCTAGTGAGGATTGTGTCCACCACTAGTTTCTCATCATGACTACCGAATGTGTGTATCTTCCAAGGTATAAGTGGAAATTGTGTCTGTCGTTTTCCCTTAACAGATTATTCTAGAGAAGATTGTAGCTACTAGCTTCCATCAAGAGTACCTCATGAGCATGTTTTCTAGAGATATAAATGGAAACTGTGTATGTGACTTGCCTTCAAGGGTTCCTTCTAGTGAGGATAATGTCCACTACTAGCTTCACATTTAGACTATCTCATGAGCGTATTTTTCAGAAGTATAAATGGAGACTGTGTCCCCAACTTTCCTTCAAGGAGTTTTATAATAAGCAACATGATTTATTAAAAAATTATCTAATAATAAAAAAAATTCATTGATAAAAAGTTAATTTTATGATAATTTTTGTCATTAAAAATAAAAACAAAAAAGAAATTCTTCTAAGAAAAAAAAACTAGAAACTTTTAAGTTAAGAGTAGCAAATCTGTTGCAAAGGTAAGTTAAGTTGTAAGTGTACTCTTTATTCAATAATTCCGATACTTTTCTTCTTATCTTTCTTACCTTGCTACTGTATGTAATGATCCATGTGACATTAACCTATCAAACATTCGCATTTATTATTTAAATGAAGCATCTTTCTGTTGAATGCCCTTTTAAACAGTAAAAATAATAATATTGAGATTGATCCCCATTGTTTAGATTTTTAAATGCTTTTAGCCACTAAAGGCATTCAGAATTTTGAATTTTCATTAAAATATTACTTCTTGACAGTGGAGTATGAATGGATGTCTTTGATCGATATCATTTTTCATTTGTTAACTTTGTTTTCTTCCATTTAAGGTTTGTGTAATTTCTCCAAGAGTGTATTTATGTTTGATAGATGATTGTTCAAATTGTATTCAACGTGCATGAATAGCTTCATTAGTAGGGTGATTTGGGCCTCAACGCGATGTATGAGGTTATCATAGGAGCGAACAGTCTCCAGCTATAATGATGAGTAAAAGGGCCTAGAACGTAACCCTCCTACAAAAATGAAAATTAATAATTTGGGATCCACTCTGGAAATTTGACAAGCCTTAGTAGATAATCTTTAAAATTATTTTTTAAATAATTATATCCTTAACTTTGAAGAATTTCAGAAAGATGAGAGGGTTGTTTGATATTTCTTTGATTTGTTGTAAATTGTTTCACAAAAAGTCTGTTAAGTTCATCGTAACTATGTATGCGTCTGACCTTTAAGGGCGGTAGGAAAAACTTGATAGAGTAGTGCATCAGCAGCTTATTATATATAATGGTTCTATAAAGATCAATGTATTCATATGGACCAGAGGGTCCAATTATAAGAGTTAATGCTTGGGAGCTTGAATTCTACTAGAATAGTTGAATTGGTTGTTAGAGGATCATATCAACCAAAAGGCAAATACTCCTGTGAACTACGAGTATGAAAATAACTTGTCTCTCTTAAAAAAGAATCTTGAATCACACGTCATAGCTCATCAGGAATTACATCAAGTAGTTGAGCTAAATTCTCCAAGTGCTAGAGGGTTGCAATTAGTTAGGGTGTACAAGATGGATTTGTGAAATTAGCAATAACAAGGAAAACAACTTCCCGACCTAGTTGGGGAAGGACTGTAGTATGAGGAGGGGTTGCCGATGGAGCATCCTCTATATGAAGATCTCAAATTAAAGTTTGGTTTTAAGGTAGATGAAACTTACGTGTGTTATGACTGGTTGTTGAGTTTCACGTAAAAATTGAAGAATCTCATTTTGAAATTCCTCCACTCTCTGTATGCTAGCCTCAAAGGGCAAAGAAATGTCATCTTCACCAGCAGGGTGATTTGTATTGTTGGAAGACGGAGCAGAGGCTTTGAATCCCGGACTCCGGACTCCGGACTCCGGACTCCGAAAGTATATTTAGAAATGGCAGGTGTTAGATCGAGAAACTCGTGTGATGCGCTTGTTAGCCATAGAAGAAGTGTAGATTTCTATTCACATGACTTCATTTCCCACTGACTGCGTCAAAGTGTGGCGTGCTAAAAAATTCAGGGCAACAGAGTGATAAATTAATGTCTTAGCGTTGAACGAAAATCAAACACACAGGTAATTAAAGTGCAGTAGGAGAAGACACTATGATTTTTTACATGAAAAAACCAGAAAAAGAAAAAAACACGAGACATAACCTAGTTAAAATAATCCACTATAAGTGTGTAATAATAAAAATACATGATTTTGTCACAACTAGAAGAGCAAGGTTACAATTTTGAACCAGTTATAATGCTTATCCATATACCACGTATGGAAAATTTCAAAAGTCTGGAAAAATTTGTTGAATCTTCAACACAGAGTTATACGTTACAACCATATTTTTTATACAACATTACAAGTAGGGGGCGGCTAATGGAGGCGAGCAGCATAGCTAGCGAGCAACGATTGGGAATACGGAGGTCGAAAATTATCGTTGAGTCTTTAGTATAGAGCAGCGTTAGAATTCTACCCTACAAGTGAGGAAGGGGGTGGTCTTATACCCTTTGGGAGAGTAGCATTTTGGTTCTTTGACAAATAACTCCCATAATCACTTAATTGGATGTCTTATATTGATCCCCCTTGATCACAAGAGAATTGTTAATGATTTAAAGGCTTTAATGACCTCAAAATCAAACAAGTTTAGGTTTGTTGGATTTCTTTCGTCAAGATGGTCGATTTGATAATAAGTATGTCAAATATGAAGTTTATTTTACTATTCAGTTAATGATCTGAGGCCTCCTAATGTGTTTTAATGAATAGATCTAGAACTAATTTTGGTATCATCATGTTCATCTTGTCGAGATACTCAGTTTTACTATAAACTTACAGAAGATGACCTTTAATTTAAATATAAAATATTTTTTATTTAAAAATATCTCAAATAGCACGTCAAATGACAAATTTCTTGAGGAAGCATCAATATGAATAAAGAATTGACGAGTTCTCAATAACCAAACTAATGGCCAAGCAAAATATTAAAATTAAAATAAAAAATAAAATATTAAATAGAAAGAAGAAAAACAAAAGAAACTCGTACCTGATGAATCCATTATGATTGATATCAGCAGCAATCAAGTCCTCCACCGTCAAGCCCTTCTGTAGCACCAACTTTGCGATTCTTCGGTTCCTCCTGTCGATTCTGGCCTCCACCAAATACAAGAAAGCCCTCGCCACTGCCAGGGTCGAGACTAGAAGCCAGAAGGAAGCAAAAACCCTCCCCTTCAAAGTCCTGAACGCTCTATCTCCATAACCCACTGTTGTCACCGACATCACCGCCAAATAAAACGAATCAATCAAATCCAAATGCTCTACCCAGTGCAGCGCCACCGTCCCCATCCCAACACACAGAACTACTACCCCGACCGCTATCCCCACCTTCATCCGAATCCTCATTCGCCCCTTCTCGGCGTCGAAAGCATAGGCAACCTCGCCACGTGCGCCAGCGGCTAGAATGAGGCTCTCTTGGAGATCGAGGAGATAGGATACGGCAGCAGAGAGGAGCACGTCGAGGATGCCGAAGCCGACGAGGACGAAAATGCACGAGATGGCTTTCGTCATCGGGGTGAGGGGAGCGATGTCGCCGTAGCCGATGGTGCAGAGAGTGACGATGCAGAAGTAGAGGGCGTCGACAGTGGGATGAGTTTCTGTACCAGAGTAGCCGTCGGAATTGGTAGAATAGATGAGCACGCCAAGAGACAGGTAAAGAAGGAGTAAAGCGGCAGCGTATTTGAGGACAGCAATGGAGGGGCCGAACCTCGGCTGCTTCTTGGAGTAAGCATCGTTGACTTCAGAGCATGGGTTTCGCAGGCTGTCCATGGTCGGAGCGGTCTTGGAGCGGTTAAGCATAGATTTCCGGCCTGCGAAATGCGCCGGTGACTTCGATGAGCAGGAGGCGGCGGCGCCGTTGCCTCCGTCGGCATCGTCGGTTCCGGGGTGGCTGTCTTCGATCTCGGAGCTCGAGGGTTGGGAAAACAGAACAAGCTGGTCTTCCTCGTCCATCTCACAGGTAACAAGGGTAACAGCTAACCACCGCAGCTGGCTTCAGATACAAGAGAAGAGGAGAAGATTGGGTGGTCGAGACATTTTTCATTTCTTGTAAAGGCATCAGGTTTCGGGCAACGCAAGCCAGAGTGAAATAAATGCACGATGACGTTGATTGGAGGGAACAGTTTGTTTAACGTGTGCCCTATAAAAATGCAGGATGCTTGGATCGGCTGCACACGGAAACCATTCAATAATTAGTAGGGAGGGTTGCCTTTCGCGATCGGCGACACTCCCGAACGGGAGCTGGTGAGGCGGCGTTATCGGCTGCACACGGAAACCATTCAATAATTAGTAGTGAGGCCTGTGGAAATCTGGTTGCCTTTCGCGATCGGCGCGACGCCCGAACGGGAGCTGGTGAGGCGGCGTTAAAGCCACCATGCATGTGGGTGGCGAAAAACATGATATATAAAATTCATTATTAATTAATTAGCATTTAGAAAAAAATTTAATTGTGACATTGACCCGCCCCAAATTGGCGATAATGTGCTTAGATGGCTATGATATCATGTTCTAATGAGCAAGCCAATCAATAATTTTATTTTAATTTTTAATGGACCGTTGGGGTAATGGACAGCTCGGCGCCAGTTTTTGGTCTCATTTGCGCTGCTAACATTGCTGTTTATGGCCCCCCAAATGGGTGTGAGGCTTTTCCGAATCTTCTAAAGCTTTTTCAATTATTTTAGGTAGATTTTGATTTCGCTGGTGAGCAAGTAAAGCAACGGTAGAGAGAGGTAGAGCAGATCTGCAAAAAAATTAAGCGTGGGATCACTTTTTTTTTATATTTTTTTGTTTTTATTTTTAATCTATTTTACTTTCTGTTTTTTATTTTTGAAAAAATATATTTAATATTTTTATGATTTAGCAAAAATATATTCTGATACCAATTTTAACCAGGATATAATAAACAGAGATATATATTTAAAACAGTAATTAAAAACAGTACAAACTTACAGAGCACAATACTGGAAGAGCACACCAAACAGACGCTTCTTTATTACAATGAAAGACTCGAAGAAAACTTTCACACCCAGCAAGGAAAACAAAGCCCTTATTTATAATAAAGGGCGGACTCCAGACTTAATACAATAGAGTTTAACAAAAGATAACACATCCGTTGGATGTGACATAAAGTAGAAAATTATTTTCAAATACTATTACACCTGCCATAATTATTTCAATCACTATTCCACCAACTGATACTATTTCAACCATTGTCATTATTACACTTAATTTCTTCTGTCATGACCTCAGTGGAGGTCCACTGCAATTAATTTGAGCCGAGGTGGGTGACCATTCGTTCCCAATTTTCTTCGTCATCTGACCCTTGATTGGAGACTGGCATGTCGTCTACTGCTTCAAATAATTCTTTCATCTGCTTATGATAAAGCTCTTGTATTCTTTGTTTGATCTGATCCATTTTTGAAGAAAAAATTATAATTTTTAAAAAATTGGGTTCATGTTGGAGCTTTGATGCTCATGACGTATACATCGTCTTGCTTGCTCCACCCAACATTATATACACTAGACTATAGGCACGAATCTCAAAGAGAATGTACCAACGAGATAAAAGAACTTTCCTTCAAGTTAAGCAATCAGCCGATAATTCAAGGTTGAGCATGAAAAACCGTGTCTTCGAGCCTGAGATATGTCAAAGATCGGAGATGGTTCCTTGCTCAGTAGCGGCGAGATCCGCCGAGAGTGAGTCATGCCGACAGTGAGTCTCAACGGATACATTGCATAATGAGTGACAAGATCCGCCCAAGAACTTGCAAGTTAAGGTGATCTGACTGAAGCGATGAACCTACCAAGCATGCGAAACAAATGTCCTGTAAGACTCGAGTTGAACGACAAATGAGCCACGGCTCCCACGACAACAATTAGCCGACCGACCTGAGGTGAGCGGGATTGTCATATGGTCAAGCGCCTCGATTGTCTGACACACACTTCGGAAGACACGATCACCACTCAACTGGTCACCTCAATCAGCCGAACTCAGACAAGTCGGTTCATCGATTACCACTATGTTAAAATTTAAATTTTAATACAGATGTGGTATAAATCAATATAATAAATTAGAGCATTAATCGTATTAAGAACAATTTTTCATAGTTGTTCCCTCCTTTCTATAATTATACAAAATACGCTCATACAAATAGGAGACAAAAATACAAAAAATGGGACTCTCTCCCCCGATTCTCTCAATAGTAAATTCTTGATTCACTCTACTCTCTTATCTCTCATTCACCTGGCTCTAGCACTCAAAGCGTGTTCACAAAAGACAATTTGGGATCCAACATTCTGAAAGGTGGTGCGGTGAGCGTGGACATGCCCCTGACGAGAAGTGGAGCTAACTACTAAGGAGAAACTTCCCATAGAGAGATAGCTGATGCATGAAAAAGAATGCTTTTATTCCCTACTATTTTTTGCATTTTTATGAATGAAATTGCACTATAAAGAAATATATTTTTTATGTTTTTTCTTGCAGGTATAACATGTATTAGAAGTGGAGCAACGTGGAGGAGACATGGAGCAAAGTGGTGGAGATTTTGAGCTAAGGAAACTGCAAGAGACTGACACATAGGCACCAAACCCTTAGGCGCCTAGGCGCCAATTCTAGCCCTGACAAATCGAAAGCATGGCACTTTGGAGCCAGCCATTAGGTGCCAAGGTGCCACCCTACTAGTGTCTAAGCCAAACCCATGGGCGTCAAAGCACCACTACTTATTCTGGCAGACAAACAAATTGGCGCCTAGGCGTCAACCTCGTAGCTCCTAGACGCTAACAACAACCTCGGGTAGTTTTTAGTATTTCAAACACACAATTTGAGGACTTATTAGACAACTTAAATTTTGGACTATTCAATGTTTTAAAAGGAGAAAGACAAGGAATAACAGAGGAATGGAAGGGGGTTGTAGGTTTGTTGTGGGAAAGGGTAGAGATAGCTTTTCCTTAATCATTTGGTGAAGATTTGATTGGAATTGTGAGCAGAGTATTCAAAAGAGCAGCAAGAGATCAGAGATCTTTGGGGGGACATTCTAGGGCTTTGAAACGGATAGAAATCTAAGTATTGTGTACTTTTATTATTGTATTTTTGTATACACAATTATTTAGTGAATTTTTTTAATTTCAAATGATGCTTCATGGTGTGTCTTCATGTCTTCTGAGTAGTTCCCTTTTACTTTTTCTTGTGATAATTGAGTAGAATGTTCAGGAGTGCAAAGTGTTTTTTAAATTAGTTTTTAAAAATTAATGTGATAATTAACCTTCTGAATTTCATTTTTTTATCATTTTGGCCAAGTGAATCATTAAAATCTGTCATGATATATAATTTCTTGGGAAAGCTATGGTAGAACAACTATGTTATTCACATTGAACTATAGGGTATGGTGCAAGTACTTTGTAGGGAGATGCAAATATTAGGAACATAGTCTTTGATGGGTTCGAGTTGGGATTTAAGGAATTAAAGCCAATTTAACCAGACCTCTTTATGCTCGGAAGAGGGTTAAGAATAGAGTTGCATCTATTTGTAACTAGCCACATTCACAATTGATATTTTACATTTTTTACACTCCTCTTATGTCATTGTAAGGGAATGTAGCTCTGTAACTTGATAATCACCAATCCTATTAGGATAAGTAAGATTTGTGTAGGATTTAACCTTTAAAACTAAATTGCAATTCAGTCAAATTAGTTTGTAGAACCTTTACTTAATTTAAATTCCAGGCTAAGAACTAATCCTAGTTGGGTAGAACTTCTCTTAAGTCTAATTTCCTCGTTTCCTGTGGGATCGATATTCTAGACTCAAAATCTGATATTACTGATATGACAAGTACACTTGCGTGAGGATTTAAAGTGTGAGTGCACCTGAAAAAAGGGTATCAAGTTTTTCATGTCATTTTCGGATAGCGACGATGTAGTTAACTTAAGAGAATTTTTCACAATCATTCAGACCTAGACTTGGAAATATGTAGTGTTAGTTTTTATGCGTAATTGTTTATTTATTTGAAAAAGAAAGTTCTAAGAATATTTTTGTGTGTTCAACTTGTGTGAAAACTATTAATTGAGTCCTTAGTCAATGAATGCATAGTTTAGGACCTACAGGAATTGAACCTTACGATTCAAAACTATAAAGAACTATTAGAAGAATTAGAAAATAGAAAAGACTTAATGAAAATTTAGAAAAAATGGTGAACAATCAAAAAATTAATTTAAATACCCAGAAATCAATTAATGATCATCATAATGCACATAGATCATTAAGGGACTATGTTAATCCAACAACAGATGAAATTTACTTAAGTATTCAAACCCGTCATAGAAGGTTATACATTTGAACTTAAGCTTGTTATTATTTAAATAGAGCAATAAAATCATATGAAGATGCTAATTTACACTTAGCAAGTTTCTTAGAACTTTGTGTTACATTTCACTATAAAGGCATGCCAAATGAAGCTGTTAGGTTTATGCTTTTTCCTTTTTCGTTAAAGTACAAGACCAAAATATGATTAAGCTCATTAGCATATGGATAAATTAAGACATGGGGTGACTTAGTCCAAAAAATTCTAGCTAAGTATTTCCCATCTTCAAAACCAACTAGACTTAGAAATGATATTATTTTACTTTTCTAGCCAGAATGTGAGTCAATTTATGAGGCTTGAGAATGATTTAAGGAGCTTCTTAGAAAGTTCCCACATAATGCATTACCCGATTGGCCGATTATTCATACTTTTTATAATTGTTTAGTAAGATCCCTTAGATCTATTATTGGTGATGTCATTGGTGGTTCGCTCATGTCAAAGCCATTTGATGAGGTGTATTCTCTGATTGAGGAGATGATCACTAACAATTTTTAATGGCCTTCTGAGAGAGTAAATCCTAGGAAGGTAACTAGCGTACTGACACAAATGTGATTTCAATTCTAACTTCTCGGGTAGTAGTCATATTTAAGAAGCTAGACCAATTTGGAATGAACCAACCTTAAGGACATTAAGTAATTGAGGAAACCTGTTTAGACAAATTGGTTGATGCTAATATTTCATCATATAGACCTTAAATGAGATTAACAACTAACTTAACAACTCTTATTCAAATTTCTATAACTCAGGTTGAAAGAACCATTCTAACTTTAACTGGAACAATAACTCTAGTGGGGAAACCAACAATGGAGAAATAACCATGCAAATTCTGTAT